TAATATCTTGTCAAACGAGTACTGCAGTTCGCAGCTCTTGATCCGAGTCGAGAAAGGATTTCCTTTATTAGCAATTTCGGGTGTCATAAATGACAATGCTGGCGAGAATGCCGGCTAAAACGGTGTAAGTATCAACGGGAGTTTATTACTGTCTACACGAGGCGTTCTCGAAATAGGTGCAGACTACTGGACTCTCCTCTTTCTACTCGCTGTTCGTGGACATTCTGGCAAACCTGTTACAATAGCGCGCGAATCTAATATTAGCCTCGTTCTTCTGATGCGTGCTGTAAATTACCAGCGGCGCAAGCACGTGAATTAGCCAGCGTTCACGGAAATAAATCGATGCGCATCGCGACAGCTCGACGCTATGCGAGAAATTTGTTCGTTTCTTTCAAGTTTAGCTCGGTGTTTCGCTTCCGTCGACTATTCTCCTCGAGCAACGTGACTCATCCACAAATCAACCCGTGATTTATTTTCCGCGAAAAGAAGGAAAAAGAACGCGAGATATCTCCCGAGCGAGGATGTCACCTTGTAAAATTTAACGCTTCGTTAGATAAAGCTCGTTCTTATATTTTTCTCTGCTCGGGCAGAAGTGGCTTTCATCCCGCTTTTTTCAAGCTGGAATTTTTACGCGTAATTTTTGTCGCTGAGATTTGACGACGCCAAAACCGGGGAATTATTTCACAGCCGACCAACGATCCCTCTCGCAAGCCGATCGATAGGCAACGATGCTTCATCAGGTGGCCAGCCGCGACGATGGGATTATCGGATTTTCGAGAAAAGAGCCCCGAAGATGGGATCGATGAGGGCGCGCGATCCCCTTTATCCCTTCCGAGTCCGATATCGCACCCTTTTTCAGCGATATTGTGTGGGTCACGGGTACGTCAACCCCCGGTGCATCGTCCTCCCCTTGCATCTTCTTATTCTCCACCAATTCGTTGGCCGTTTCACGGGACAAAGTTTTCCTTATTGTTGGCCTAAAAAGTTGCACCACGAGGACTTAATGAGACGAGATCACTTGTGCGAAACAAAGCGAGCAGTCCTTCAGCATTATTATCCCTACGGCTAGGACGCAGTCTCGGAAATTGCGCCCTGCGGACTTTTATCCAACAATGAGAGCTTCCTTTCTTCGTTTCTTCGCGGATTACCTTTCGCGTATCTCGACGAAAACTTCTGCAAAGTTCGCGTCTTTGTTCTCTCGGTTTCTACCCTCATCGCATTGCAGGATTTGATTCGATTTCCTTTGAAGCTTAGCGTTTTTCAAGTCTCGAACATACTTAATAAGATTTAATAATTGTCAAATAATTGTGTCTGTGAGAGATTAAAAAAAAAATTCTACAATTCTACAAATTTGCAAACACTTTCTCTATTAGTTTTCGAGTCACGAACTTTCTCCTGAATGTTCCATCAACTGCTTTGAAAGCGTTCCATAGACAAGAAGAACCTAATGAGGCCGAGGCGTCACGAGCCTTGATCTGGCCGCTAGTTTGCCGTCGATTATTATACAACCGTCCGCAATTTCCGTTCACGTTTTGACACGAAAGGACGTGCCGGAACACGCATTGATCCGTCAACTGCAATTTGCTACGCACAGCTTTTACGACCGTCGCGGGAATTATGTCACGCCATATATTAATTTCATCGAATTTACGATAACGAGCGACCGATAATGCATATTTCATGTACCAGCGCGAATATATGATCACATCTCTCAAGTAAATTCCTTATATGATAATATATAACACACATAATCTTATATATTTGGAATTATTTAGAATATCTTCGTAAACGTATATTTTTCTCAACAATACAATACAAATCTTCTTGACAATACAAATTTTTATCATATTTATTTTTTTTTGACAATACAAATTAATAATAACTAATACACAATAATAATGAATAATGATTAATACAAAGAATTCTTGACAATACAAATTTTTATCATATTTATTTTTTTTTACACATTGCTCAAGTTTATATGACAATTTTCTCTCTGGAAATTTTTTTTTCATATCGAATTTGTCGAACATGTGGAACTTTTTTTCTGCATCAGCTGCAGAAAGAAATTTTGATCGGTTTTCCGGAGGCATGAAATTTCAAATTTGTTTGGATTAGCAGCGATGTCGTACGGTACAGAAGTTCGCGCACTTCATTCCGCATAAATTTATTCGATCCCACTCTCGCAGGGAAACGAGCTGCTTTTATTGTCCGTTTTACGAGGGCGTGTGTTTTGATGTATAAAAAATATATATAATTAAAAGCATAGAGTGACATTTTAATATAAGCTACCTCTTTAGCGAGGATATTATAAATTCGATATACCTTTTTTATCCATTTGAATTGTTGAACCGAATCGCAACTGTTTGCACAAAGATTGTTTCTTGAATAGTATTTATTTACCAAATAAATAATTAAATATAAACACTTTATTTCTATCTTAATAAACACGAAATAATAATATAAAATAGCAATAATAATTTTTTAATTGGTTGTCGAAGTCTTCAATTAAATACATATAGGTTTTTATGTTTGATAAAACCTCTCTTTTAACAAAATACATAAGCATGCAATTGCTATCAGAAAGAGAGAAAAAATAAATAAAATTGAAAATATATTTATATAATAATATTTATACAATTATCATAATTATTATATAATTGTTAACATATATAATTGTTTACATTGTAATTATGCAGAACAAACATAATAGAACAGAAAAAGAAGAATGATTATTATTTAAGCACAAAATGATAGAAAATACGAAGAAAAGGGAATATTTGATATCATTTTTTAATTTATTTTTAAATATCGCAATAGTCTTTTTTTCAAAGGGTAGAATCATTATCTTTATTTGAAAATCTCTATAATAGTTGTAGAGCGTGCACAATTATCTTTTATGATCGTGCTTGAGATTTACGAGTCGCGCGCATTCAAAAACGATTTGCTCGCATTTCAACTGGACTTAAAAAGCCAACTATGCGTGACCTCGTCGCGCAGCGTGCATGATTCCACATAGAGACAAAGTGAAATCGTGAGAGAGAAAAAGAGAAAAAGAGAAAGAGCTTGCGGATCAATAGGACAGCTTGTCGTGACGTTACTGAAGAAACCACACGTATCAGCTGTTTTAAGCGTTAACAATACGCGAGGTGCGAATCCGTTAAATGAACAGCACGACTGGGGCTTGTCGAAAACGAAGAGCTCGTCTAGGAACTCGTCTTAATTTAGTTGCTGACATTCAAACTGGATTACTGTAACTGCAAAAGTGTCTGAGAAAAAAATGTATTCTTGAGCAAAAAATATTTATAATTATGTTCTATTTAAAAAAATATATTTTATACTTTAAAGTGAGATTTTAAGAGAATAGTTAGTTTTCTTTCTGCTGTGTAAGATGAGATTTATGTTACAATGTATTGGAGATAAAAACTCTCGAGTACAGCGTCATCCTTGATCGTGACATAGATCGAGATGTGAAAAACGAACACGACGAAATACACAAGTGTTTTATTGTGAATATCACAAACCGATGGCTCGTGTAATCCGACAACACGTAGATTTATCAGAGCTGACGACGCGTTGTACGGGGATGATGTTTACCATAGAATATTCAGGTGACAATCTTGGCACGCTTAGGTAAATTTTTACAAGAGACACACATACTTTTCTTTGTGCAACATCTTTAGAATCTCGTTCAAGGATGCGTAAACATCGTCGTTAATTAGTTCACGAGGTACTCCGAATAAATCTCGTTAACGCTTTACGCGGAAAATTATTTTCCTTTCAAGATTCTTAACTTCTCCAACTGGAGCTGAACTCGTGACAGAGAAACTGACATTTTACTTTTCTGTTATTTTACGTGTCTGATTGTTTGCGATTGTCACGACTGCGATGACAATTACCAGAGGTGAATTTGCTGACGAATGAGTTGGCGGAAAATGAAGGAGATTAAACTCCAACCTTGATGATTTCTTTTATTTAATCACGCACAAGAAATCGAGTTGACATTCGTCAGGAAGTCGGTATCGCATGTTTATGTTTTCTTGTGGCTGAAGGCGAAAATAAAAGATATAGTTTCTCTTGTTGCAAGGTCACTCGAACATGTTTACAAGTACAAAGCTGCGTGGCAAATCCCACGTTACATCCAGATTGGTAAGGTTTGATGTAACGAGGTTGCACCACAACGATTTATATCGAGGAAGCCAACACTTTTATATCACTCCAACGACTATAAACTTTACGAGGATATTAGGGTTACGTTAGAATGGGACGAATTATTTGTGCGCGGTTCAGAGACTTTTATAGGAAGTTTCGCCATTTTAGTATCGGCTCCTTTGTCATCCCACGCGCGTATCCCCAAGTGAAATATCACCATCGCTGCGCAGTTTGTGCATCGGTGTCTAAGAAGCACCCAGTAAACGTCAATCTGGAATATTTATCACGTCCCACAATCGCTAATGGACCACGACGCTTTGTGTACATGTCTCGGCATAAATTCCCCGATGATTTAACACCGTTCGGTATTTCCAAATTTTATGGCCGCGCCTTGCGACAGCTCTTGACACGCATCAAAGTGCCATCGACGTTTCGCGATGGCATGGGTTTCCAAGTGCTGTCGAGAACTTGAGTTTTCGAGTGTAGATGGAAGTTGGCGCGGATAGCACTCCGCTACTCTGTACTTTATATAAAGTTATACTTTAGAAACGATTCAGTTTTAGATATTCGTGAAATTTTAGATGCGCGAGCTAGGAATTCGTTTATTATAAATATCATGTCTTGATCGATTTTTGAAAGATGCTGAGTCTGCGAAAATGTTTAAGCTTGTTTCAAATCAAACGATTCCCCTGCACTCGCGGATTATTTTACAAGTAAATTAAACTTCGCCCACAGCTCTCGAATATATTCGCCGCCCGTATACATACATTTATGATGAGAGCTCGACAGGAGTGCGGTCAAAGACGCGAATTCCCTTCGTATTCTGACTTGCTAATTTTCCGTTTCAGGAACCAAGTTCCTCTGCAGCGAGGTGATAGCGCTAATAAGGAGCGAGGTGGACGACATTTGCCTACAAATCATAAACTTCGAGGACCTGAGCTCGCAGCCGCCGCCGCAGCCTGCGATCCCACCGCCGAGTCAGGCCAACAACAGGCTCGCGACACGCTGTATGTGCCAATTTTATTCGTTCTACTTTGACTCGTCTCGATGTTGCGACGTGCGCGCAAGAAGTCGTGTCCGAATTTTCGCACGAAAGTTTAGCGCAAGTTTCGTTGAAACGGTTCCAACGAAAACATCTCTTCGGTCCTTTGTATGTCGCGAGAAACGTACTCTGCCCACGATCTTTTTAATAAAAAAAAAAAAAGGTATACAGATGTCAAAATTCTGGACAAAATTTTGAAGTTTAAGATGAACATTTTTAGTCGAGTTGTCGTCACATTATGCGACGACATTCACTGATCGAATCGACCCTCGACTCCGATAGCTCTTATTGCGCAGTTAAATTGAACGATAAACTTCGGCCCAACATTTACACACGATATCCTGACCAAGACATTTCGTGCTTCCCACACATATAACTTCCTGCGGCTTTTAAACACGGCTATCATTATTTTCCGCTGCAACGTCCGTTATAAGACACCGTCGCGCGCTGACATTCGTGGCCGCCTCGTTCTTACAAGTGGAACGTGGTGTGTGGCACACGTAGGCTACTCCTCTTGTGACGATCATTATTACGATCATAGATCCAGGTCAGGTGTATCCGCATAATGAGCCGCGTTACAATCCTGCGGAAATTCGGACGCGACTTCTTTCGTGTGCGCAATTATGTACGTCGCATTGTCATTTTTCTCTGCACGTGTATGTGTCCTTTAGTTGGGATTTGGGTATCATTGAATGCGCATGAATTGCCTTTATCTATTGCTCCCACCTGTGTTAATGCGCATGCAGTATTTTCGTGTGAATATAACACGTTTCTGTAATTAGACTTTGCTCTCGCATTGTCGCTACATAAATGCAGTATAAAATATGTAAAAGCCCCTGCGCTCCCAGTATTACTCTTCTGAATAATATCAGCTTCTACGCGACGCTTCCGTAATTATTCTCACAAAAGGCTCAATTACAATGATATCTCATAACTTTTCGATAAGAAATTTAATTTTCTAAATTACTATTAATAATAAAATACATGCTATATCATATATTTATCTTTCGGTAAAATTTTAAAAATGTGTTTTTTCTCGTTTTGAAAAGATGCTTGATTGAAAAGAGACTTTTACATAAAGTATATACTGTCCTAATTCAGTCCACAAGTGCGTAGCACGTTTCCACGATAAACTTCTCGTCATTTTTCTCAAACCAATTTAGGAAACATACACGCATACACGCGTATTTGCATTTATGCGTACGGGAGGATGGGACACGTGGTCGCGTTTTATATCTGGAGTGCTCGCGAAACTATTTTTAGAGCGACGCTGCAGAGCGCTGGACGTGCGCGGCGCGCCTAACGGTTAACCCTGACCCGGTAATAAATGTTATGCCCTCGAATGGATAGCTATAGGCAGGCACCTTACCTCCCGGTTGTGATAATCCTCCCCCTAAGCAGCTCAGCTGATGGTTAGAGACTTGTAACAGAAATCGATCGTAACGGAAAGTCGCGTAGCATTAAAAGCGTGCTTTAGGAAATGCCTCTTTCACAAGCGTCACGCACGGAAAAATCAATAGATGTGGTTATTTCCCCTTTCTCTCTTTTCCTCATTTTATTTCAGAGACATTTCTTTAAATACAGAAAATTCTCACATATAAATAAATTCTCATATTACGATTTAATAAATAAAGGGAAATGTACATTTATAATTTATTAATTTTAAAACAAATTAAAATTATTATTTTTAAAATGAAAAATTTATACTAAATAATTTTTTATTAAATATATTTGATAAATGATTAATAATTATTAATAGAATATAAATGATGAGTGGATACAATTAATATATGCGTATTATGATCTAGCAATATGCTCTATGTTGCTATTTTAACTCACTCAAGATACCAATAACTGAATGCGCAGAAATTTTGAAAAGCCGATATAATCCGTCGATCGATAGTTTGTAGAGTTTGAAATTGTTCCTCCAAGAGTATGGTCTCTATTCAGTCTTAGCCTCATCAAAATGCAATCAATAACGGATATTTAATAGAGTAATCCATCATCTAAATAAATCAATCGCTTATGTCGCGATTGTTACAATTAATAATCATTAAATAATTATTAAGTATAATTAAACATCAAAACTCTATCTTGTCTATAATATTCTCAGTTGGCTCTACAAATATAGGATTTAATTTCTTACATAAAATTTCTCAATGATTTTATACAGATACTCTCTGAACACGACCATCCATCTTTGAAAGTATCTTTATTTTAAATTATTTACTTTGATTCGTCATTTTTCAATCTGTGGTTCATATCAATTTTCTTTCTAAAATGATTAACGAGTCGACATGATATTGACTCGGCTCAGGTCAATATCACATAGGAAAACAACTCGGAAATGATTCAATCAATTCGCATTCTAATGGTACATTATTTTAGCAGAGTAATCTTGGCTCTTTCCATTTAACGATAATCGATATCAATGCATAATTGAGAATATTGTCGATCGTTGTACATGAATACGACACTCTTTTCACAGCTTCTCCTCATTCTTTTTCTTGAGCAGCGCTGGGGGATTAAACGATAATGGCTGTAATTTCTCCAGCTTGCGCGAATATTTTTTCATTAGAATTTTTTTGTCATCACTGTCAGTTCGTACTCATGCATTTGCATTTCGATTAAACGAAACGAGCAAATATCGCGCGCATTTTCGCCGATAATCGTGTTTTTCATCGGACATATCGTTTTCCGATGAATTATGATGAATTTTGACAAACGACGATATTCGAATGAGATTTAAGAAATTTTAAATCTGAGGCGAGAGACTTGTGAAAAATGATTCGTGTCTCTTATTTCGAGCGTTTCTTCATAAAACTTGACGCGTGTACGCATTAAACGCGCCGGTTTTTTTAGTACAGTGGTCGACGAATTTTGGCGGCGCCGAAGAACGAAGGTTCAAAGACAGGCATAATATTTTAACGAAAGTTCAACGGCCACGGTTGGCGCGATATCAAGCAACGAAACGGAAACGAGGATTGCACTCTGATCTGTCATCTGCATGCCAGACGACATTGCAGCGAAACGCGGGCTGGACGATGAATTAAAAGTCTCACGTTGACTGACTTATCTTTGTAAAGTATCCTTGCGGAGCGGCGTGGCAAATGGATTTTCCAGTACTTGACGTGACAAATTTGACGGGCCGAGTATGACAATGCAGAGTCGACAAAGTTAAATCAATCGTTAACTTCCGACGGCAACTATGTCTCTCGAATCGTTAGGGTTTTAATAGAAATATCAAATTGTAAACCTCGTTAGATATTAGATATATCAAATATAAAATTCATCATATTAAATATATCATGTAAAATTATACATATCATTAATATCGTAAAAAGAAATATAAAATAAAAGTCACGATTCTTTATTATTTTTTTAAAAGAACAAACATATTAAATGATAAACCTCATTAACATTGACATCAACATTATTAAATAAGTCGCACATAAAATTATACAAATGTTATTTATATTAAAAAGTTATTAAAATTGTAAGTAATTAATAAAAGTTATTAATATTGTAAATAGAAATATAAAATGTATAAAATAGAACTCGATTTTTTATTTTTAAACATAAATCAGAAATGTTAAACAGTAAATCTCAACATTAGATATTAAATTCTATATATCACCCTTATAAAGTTATACAATTATTAGTCTACAAAGAAATATAAAATACATAAAAGCGAACTCGCATAATAATTTTTTTAAGCAAAATCGCGATTATGAAAGCATTAGTGTAGCCCTGAAAAATAATAAAAAAGTTGATAATGATGTAATAGAAAGAGAAAGAGAGAAAAAGATTAATATCAAATTATAAATCAATTATAAATATTATATATCTTATCGAAAATTGTATTTTTGGAAGTTTTAACGCGAATTTTACCGAATTACTTAATTAGGACTTAATTGCATATGCATGTTTCGGTCGTGTCAAATATTACAATGCTTGAGTTTCGCATGTCCTGCATGTTTATTTTGCACGTTTTGTACAAATACATTAGCCTCGCATCGCGTATGTAAATAATAAAAACTGCCGCGATGCATATGGCGTCATAGAATATGCCGGTCAAGGCATATATGCCGTAATGCCGTTTCTTGCGACGGTAAATTTATGCAAAGCGCTGCTTGCCACTTGGCTCTAACACCGTCTACTAACAGTACTAATGAGACTCAATGACGTTGACTCGAGCAGTCGACAGGGCAAGGGCGTCCTTCCGGGCTGGCTTGTCGAGGACCGGTGTCGTTGGTCCACCAAGGGTCCGGAATCGACCGCGCACGACGACTAATTTGCCTCATCGACTTGCTGACGGGACCATCCTCGACGAGGACGCTTCTGAGAACTGGTGAGTTGTGTCAATTTCACCAAGAATTTTGCCGCGAATTTAAAATTTTTATTTTTTTTATAATAAAATAGAATTTTTTTTAGTATTTATAAATTTAAATATTTATTAATCCTAATAAAATAAATTTTAGTTTCTTTTTTTATTATACAATCATATAGGAAAATAAAAATTAATATTGCGCAATAATTTAATCCGCGCAATATTCATAATGCCTTTTATATTTATTTAATTAATGTATTTAATATTTAATTAATTTAATTAATATTTAATTAATTAATCTAGTCTAGTAATTCTTATTAATTATATAATAGTAATTTCTTATTAATTATTGAATAACAAATAACGAGTATTTCTTTTCGAAATAAAATTCACACACACAGATAATTCGAAGATTAATCATATTTGCCGTAATGTGTAAACAATTAAGATGTTCAATTAATCTCAAGTTTCTCGAGCAATATTATTCTCGTCTGTTAGCGTGTAGGGGGTAATCAGCTCGTGTTATAGGATGTATAGGAGAATACAGGGGATCTGATTAAACAGCATTGCATGGCAATCAGAGTAACGAAGCGGAGCGCTCTCGCTTCGCTAACGATATCACGATACATCAGTGGTATCGCGACGATGAGTCGGGCAATCAGTAGATCGACGGATTACCTTTTTGGTAACTCGTTACCCGATCGATTACTGCGCAAAGTAGCCGGCGAGACATTAGTCGCTAACAGCGACTAACCTACATTCCCGTGGTGCCAATTATTTTAAAACTTTAGTCACGGCTCTCTGCGAGCCGTAACAAGAGTCGTCGAGTCTCTCCAACTTCTCGCTGCATTTCGTCCTTTTATATTTTCAACGCTCTCGCAGTCTCTGAAACGAATTGGATTACCAGATTATTTCGTCCACAAAATATCCCAGACTTAACGTCGTAAACTTCCTTTCCTCACACGAATACTTTGAACAACTTGAAGTCGATTTATTTTGTCTCTTCATTGAACAGGTCGAGTGTACTTGGATTAGATTCCTTCGGAATATTCTTCAGATTCTGAGTAACATTTTCGGGACGCGATTGACTTGTAATTATAGCTGGACTTTGTCGAAGCACGCTTGAATAAATAAACACGTCCAACAGAGAAACGTCAGACTGACGGAAAGATCGAAAAATAACTACGAGCCGTCGATCGGTTAAATCGAGCCTCTTCTCTCTATATTCAATCTGATTCATAGATATTATAAACTTGGGAAAACGTTCTCTCCAATTTCTTATTTATTACACTTTTACCGGCATCAGTTTAATATCCCTTTGCACCGAGGATTCAATTCGCTATTAATATCGATGTTGATAAAGCGTAATGATGCAGTAAATCAGTTTTATTGTTCACTATTTCGCGAAATAATTATGGGAAATTTTTGCAAATTTATTCTGTGAAGGTATGTGTAAAGAAATATTGGCTCAAGTTATGCTGGAAAAAATTTACAAACATTAATTTATCGTGATATATTTTTTCTTCCGTGAATGATAGACAACTAAGAACATAAGTGAAGGACACAAGTATTTTAGAAATCATGATAAAATTAAATTTTTGCAGCAAATTATAACATACGTGAAATATAATATTAAAAAATGCAGCATTGTTTAAAAATTCACTGCGCCTTTACTTGTTCAATTTAATGAATTGTTTATTAAATTTCTAATTTCATATAGTCGGCAAAATAGAGGATGTTACGGTTCGAAGCCGTTTCATCTCATACAAGTTTTGTCTGAAGAGGAGACACATCCCCCCAATATGTATGATAAAATATCTCGCGTCGAAGAACCAGTATTGATATCGCGTTGCACCGGGTGGTGTTTCCCGATTCGAATTCGCCCTCGAACACACGGTGCAGTTTGTTCGGGTCTGACAGCCCCGAAATCCGCATGATCGCGAGCAACACGCTCGAGTAAATAGCCGAGTGTTCCGGAAACAACGACGTGACGTAAGAATACGTAAACAACGATCGTTCTCGCCGTCGTCGTCGTCATCGGTGATCGATCTTGCTTTACTCGAATTACGTTTCGTTATTCGGAGTTACGACTTCGAAGTCGCTCTCGATCGTCTCTATCGATTTACGAGCGTCAAGACGCTCGTTAGAAACGCAGCTCGGAGAACAAATCCGCCTTCACGGGCCTCTTTTATTCTCCAAGCATGACGTTGCGATTCTGCGGGCTTATTTCCGCGTCGTTGGGAGCGGCCGATCGATCGATCATTTCTCGCCGACAGCAATTTCGGCCATGGCGATTGCAGTCCGTCCAATTCCAAACGAATGGGGAATCTTGGGAATTTGAACGCCGCTATCATCGCGTATCGCTTTTAATGCGCGGCGATTCTTTTACACTTATTTTATATATGTTGTTCGACCCAGGTTCAATTTAATTGAAAATTTTCTGATATTCTTTTTTTTCTAGCATTATTATTATTATTAAAATTTAGTCTACGAAAACGGAGAGAGAGAATATTAACTGCAACATTAACGATTTTAATCTCTCCAATCGATCGTTACAAATTGATAAATATAATTATCAATTTCCGTAAAAAATATGGGATATTGGATATCGACAGACATTAATTACGCGATACGGGAAACATATCATAATCTCATGTGTGTTAGCTCGATATCATCCAGGAATTTAATTTCACCCTCCGTTTGTCTTCCGATGATAATCGCAAAGTTTTCCGCAGTTTACGTTGAATTTAGTTCGCTAAAAGTTTTGTATATATCGTAGCCTATCGTAGTAAAAAGATAGAAAAATATGTTTTCGCCAGAGACTCTTCAATAAAAGACACCTGAGCCGTTCCTCAAACTCTCCCAGAGACAAACGTAATTCCCGAAGTGTAACTACCAAAGAAACATATAATAAACAACCAAAAGTAGATTTACAAACCAGTAAAGGAGCTTTATTTAGTTCTCTCTCTGCGTCTTTGATGAATAATACAAGTAAGGGAAACACGATTCGGCGGAGAAATCGAATTTGCTCGATGCTCACTGTAGCTTCCATGAATTTTAATGAAGGTTCTAACAAACATATCACGATCTGCATTATCTTGGCAATCGATAAATATACATTATTAAAGCTTGTGATATATGTTTTTTAACAAACTTTCAAACCATTTTTTATCCGATAATTTCGAAAATTTGCCAATTTGCAAATTAGCAAATTGCGTTATATTCTTAGATTTTCTTGTATATCCCGGCCTTGAAACTTTTCTCCTTCGATTGTCACGAGGAGCGCACATATTTAGAGACAACGGGAGGTAGAAGCCGGGCAGGTGGCGGTTCGTTTCAGAATTGCAAGCTCGTGTACGGCACGCAACGCGACTTACGAGCGGACGTGCATAAAGCACGTCGAGGACTGGGAAGCACGAAAAACGACGGAGAATAATGCGATCGCGTCTACGACCTTGGGATGGACAGAAAGTAACCGAGAGAGAGAGAGAGAGAGAGAGGCAGGGTGCACCGGCGGCACCGTCTTCAAGGTGAACCCGAGCGAGCGAGCGTTGCACGCGACGACGTGTTACAATCGAAAAGCCAACCCCTAATCGAGCCGCGCGGACACAATGCGTGACGAAGATAGATGCCGGATGGAGAACGCGAGCTTGTCGAGCTTGTACCGCGCGATCGCAATCTCGCGATCGCGCATTAAGCTCGCGATAAACGGACATCGCGCAATTCTTTATCGATGCGATGATACAGGCACATTTTTATGCTTTTCACGTCGCGTCTCCGATACACACTCAATTTATTTACAAATACGAACGTCGCAGAGCCGAGCGTTAAATGCAAATTGAAACGAACGCCTTGCAAATTACGACGTAAATATTTCAAAACGTATTCAGTTTGACTTACATTTAGTTTCTAATCTCGTGAATCATGAATCAACTTGCCGCTGCATGAAATTAAACTACCAGGAAAATGGCGAAATTTATTTTTACGATCGCGAAATATATTTCGAACATCATCAAAGGAATGGATGCGTACAATTTCTAATTCATCGAGGCAGAATTTTTTCTCACAGTTGAAGAAGTTTACGTAATTGACGCTTTTATATTCGGGTTCGGCGAGCAATGTACATCGAAAATGCGCGATAAATGCAAAATGGCGTGAAAAATGAAAAGCGAACGACGCTCTCGTTGCATCGAAAGGGACTCTCCCCTTCTCTCTCTCTCTCTCTCTCTCTCTCTGAAAAGTTGGCGACAAGGGCGCGCATCTTGCGAGCGACGGAACTTGTTGTTTTTCTTCCGGCAATGGCGTTTCACTGCTGAATAATCCGAAAGCTCCATTAAAGCAACGACGACGGTGACAAAGGGGAATATCCCGTCACCGTGCATTTCAAGGCGAGTCACGCAACGAGTCGCGGCGTAAAGTTTTGACAAGCCGTTTCTGCGACCGCTGCAAGGCTATGCGGAATGGAGTGGAAACCATCGTTGCGTCTTGAGCGCGGTTCCATGTGTTCACCTTCGTGTGCGTGCCGTATCCTTTATTCACGATAGACGCGACGGATGATCCTTATCGCACGCTAGGATTGAATTAATTTCGATTACCGGCAAGGATATGAAATATGGCCGGAGTCGACTTACCTTGAAAATGAATTGGCTACGTGGAATTATAGGCTATTACATAATGCCACATTTCTGTATCTTTATTAAAGATTTTATCGCATGCGCAATTATTGTTGTATAACTTTATATTATATGTCGTATCCAAAGTTACTTGAATCATTTTACTTTTCAGTGAAGTAGAAATCACGCGAGTTGACTACTTCTATAAATTAATTTATTTTCCAAAGTATGTATTGGTACATATGGATAAAGCGTCGTGTTTTTACTAAAAAGAAAGACTTAATTAAATTATTCGACAATTGTTTTAAAAAATTAAGAAGGAAATGGCGTAAGAGCCAACGTGTGGTAGTTGAAGCGCAGAGAAGCACCAACACTTTTTTTTTCAATATTAGTTTATTAAAAACTCAT